TCAATAATACAAGCAACTTAAATATCCTAAAAAATAACACACTTAATATAAAAATAAAAAATAAAATAAAAAAGGCAAAAATTTATTTTATATTTTATATTTTATTTTTTATTACTAAAAATCATCTAAGTTAAAATTCATCCCAAAAAAATTCTCATCTGTAAATAAATTTTCATCCACACATAATTCTTCATTCATTAATAAAAAATCAACTATCTTTAATCAATATTCATCCATAAGATTTCATCTATTCAAATCCTAATTCATCCAATATATAATCTAAATTAATTTAAGTGATTTTAATTTATACAAAATAAATTTTTATTCAACTTAAATTCAAACATATAATTTTGTGATCTTGCCTAATTTCGATGTTGATCTTGGCTTCTTGAAATTCAGCATCCTTGCACACTCTTATACTTGATATAGATCTTCACTTCATATACTCCGCTTGGTAGTTGTCAAGGATTCTTATTGCTACACTTCTTTTATCTTTTAACTGATTACTAACTGCTAGTCAAGCCACTATAGTAATCTGTAGGTTCTTCATGATCAAACAACCATACAAGTTGAGAGTTGTTGGTACTTAATCACCACCTAATGGCAAAATTAAACTTCCCAAATAAGAACAATAGCCACCAATGAAGGTCAATTCAATGCCTTAATATTCCCTACTGCTCACAAAGTCTTTTGTCATTTTCTTCTATTTCCTCTTGTTGTTTTAAAAATGCTATTGAATCCTTATACTCAAGCAACAAATGGAATGAATATTACCGATAGGCTAACACTAAACACTATCAATTGGCCAGCTAGTATAAAGCATTGGAAAAAAAATCTTTCAACATCGCAACACCACTTCAAACCTATGACCTTGACTTTGTTGCCAATCAAACTTCAAACTTCACTAACTATAAACTTTTAAACTTTGACAATTTTTTGTAAAAACGTGCTTGTCTTTATAAGTCAAAAAAAATAAAAAAATAAATAAAAAACTTTTAATTCAAAATTATTTTTAGAACCTCATCACTTTCAGTCTTAATCATAAAATTCCTTAGATTGAGCACTACACTAGTATTACTAATAAATTCAACACTATCTAAAATGTATCCAAAATGCTCATTATAGAGATGCACAAGAAAGATAATTCCAGTGTTCATATGTGCTAAGAGTAAGTGGTTGTTACTAGGGTAATCTTTTCTTCTATATCTCAAAAATTCAAACCATTTGTTGAATATTTTAAAAACTCAAACCAAAACTAAGCAAAAAAAAATCTTGCTACTAAATTAAGCAATTCACAATAATTTATTACATACTAAATATGCTGAGATAGCAAGTGCTCTTGAATATTTAAATAATCACTAAAAATATCCTCACTAGAATTGTCTCATTTGGTACCTATGAAGATCAACAACAATAACTAAGAACTTATAATATCATTCTACTGACTTTTGATTTTGAATAACAAAAAAATCAACAAAAAAATCAACAAGAATGACCAAAAATATATTCAATTGGTGACTATAGAGTAGTAGCTAGAAAATTCTTTTTTTAGTATCTGCAATCTAATATAAGAAGCAAAAAAATATTATCTTAGGCATGTTTATGTACCTCAGACCAAGTTTTGCCCTCAACATCAATGGTGTCACTTTTGTAGTACAATATCAATCCAAGGTCTTATTTCTTTAGATGAATGTTTTTTTATATGAGTTGACCTTTTAAAAACTATCAGCTTATAATCCTTGAAATATAATTAATATTAATAAATATTTAAATATAAATAAATAAATTTTATAATATCTTACAAAGAAGCCTTTTAAAAATTTTATATACAAAGATTTAACTTCATATATACTTATAGATAATAAGTATGTTAGAAACTTGGTCAAGAAGTTGAACAAATGTTACACATATTAGCTACTTGTACTACAAGTTGGCCATGTGGTATATATATGAAACTTGCTTTGTAAGTTAGATACATGTATTGCAAATTGAATACAAGTTGGAGGTCTTATAGAACATTGTCATATAGCTCCTAATTAGATAATACATATAGAGGCAAAAATGAGACCTTCTTTACTTTAGTGAATTCTTTCTTAATTTAAGTCTAATTTCAAGAATCTCTAATTTTTAGCCTTTGGCAATAATTATTATAGTTTCTTCTTAAATATACATTTTTATTTTATTTTTATTTTATCCACAAGATATTATATATATTTCATACTTTTATTTATTTCTATCTAATTTTTTTATATTAGTAATTAATAGTATTGATTATGTTTATGATATTTACTAGTCTATTTTATTGCCACCAAAATATATTTATTATTAATTTATTAAATTGATTATTAAATTAATAATAATTTAACTAAAAATATTAGTCTTAATTGTGCTATATTGATTAATTATTGATAATGGTTATATATATTATAATTATATATATATATATATATATATATATATATAAGATTAATTACTTTTAATCTTCTTTAAGAAAATTGGACAATTAATTTATTAAAATTTTATCATCTTCTATTTTTAAATAAGTTTTTTTTATAATTTTTAAAAAAATTAATAAGATTTTTATATTCATTATAATATTATAAAATTATAAAATTTATACTTAATTAATATATTCTACTATTTAATAGCATAAAATAAATCATCTTTTAAATATTTTTTATTTATTATTAGCCATATTAATTTAAGATAATTTTAAATATCTATGGGATATTTAACTTTCACATAGAATATTATAGAATTTATATAAAATAATATGAATAAAGTATTTTTTTAAAAGTATATCTATTAGAATTTATCTTTAATAATAATTGGCTCAAAATATTTATCTTTTTAAAATTATTATTTTTATTAATTAACCAGTTTAAAATCATATTTTATACATAAAATTAATCAATAGATTACTTGTTTTACTATTCAAAGTTTGTTAAAAGTATATAAGAATGTCAAAGATAAGAATTTAAAAGAGATACATAAATAAGTGAGATGTATATCAAAGAGAGATAAGAAAATAGAAATAATAAAGTATGTATATTCAAAAAGAAACTAGAATGGCTATTGCCAAAAATTAAAAAAACTAGAGATTATAGAAATTAGATTAGAAGCAAGAAAGGAATTGACAAGAGTGAAGATGGCTTCATCTTTACATCTATATATAATATCTAATTATAAGATATGTGGCAATATTCTATAGGATTTCCGACACATATCCAAATTTTTAAATTCATGTTTAATTTGTACAATAAGCTTCTTATACGTGCACCACATGTCCAACTTGTACTATAAGTGATGAACATGTATGATACGTGGCCAACTTGTTGGTGAAGTTTTTAACCTATCAATCATTTATAGACTTGTATAAAAGCAAAGCCGCATCTATGAAGTTTTCAAGAAGCTTTTCTATAAGATATTGTCAAATTTATTTACTTTTACTTACTTCTACCTATTTAATTTATTTAGATAATTATTGGGATATATATATATATATATATATATATGTCTACAATAAAAAATCATGTTACATGGTTAATAAAGAATATTACTTTATTATCTAATATAGAATAGAAATACCTTTATAAAGCATGTGTAATAGCTAAAGCTCTATATTTGATAATAGTATAATTCTTTTTAAGTAAAATCAATAATTTAGATGCCTAATTTATTTCTACTATATAAATATAATTTATGTAATATTTAATATATTTTAGATAAAAATTTAAATAATAATATAGATAGTAGATTTTAAATGAAAGAATCAAATTTCATTGTCCTTTCTTAAGATTATTATAAATAAATAAAAACTTGAAGCTAATGCAAATTTAAAAATTACAAAATTCTATTTCACACTACTTCACATATATTTGAGGTTCTTTGAAACTAATGGCATGGCTTCACATGATATATAATGTAAAAACATGTATGATATATAAGATGCTTTGGAATTTATTTTAGTATTTATATGAGTTATGTCTCAAGATAAGACTGATGATTGAGCTTGTAAAGTACAGTATTTTATAAAATATTACATGTTGTAAGAGGTTTTGAGTACATAATATACATTCGCACAACAATTATTAAAATACATATCTTTTAATATTTGGAAACATGTTGGGTGACATGAAATTCCTCTAAAGACCATTGTATGAAATTTCTTAATCAATTATCCAGATTATTACATTGAAAATGAGTTGTACATGATACTTCATTCATTAACAAAAGTCGAAAAGCTTGGATAACTTTTTGATATCCTATTTAGAATCTTGAAAAGGGAAGAGAATGAAAAATATGATGTTTAACATAGAGAGAATCATTGGAATGGATAAAATGGTTATCATTTAAAGAATGGCATTTTAAACAAATTCGATTAAATATGTGTGTATATATATATATATATATATATATATGAGGTTTTGGATGTGTGCAAATAATTATAAATGTTTTTAACATTCAAGGAAGATTGTAAATGATATTGAGTCCTCTTGAGGAGCTTGATATACTTTGAAGCATAAAATACTGTTAATAACATAAAAAGAAGTGATCATGATCAGTTTGAACCCTTTTCTAATGCCTAAAACATGAAACAAAGAGGAATCATTATTATTTTTTGATTACAAAACCAATGAAGTTCAATATCCCTACAACCTGATTTTGATTTTACTCATTTCTATAATGATTTTCTTGTTCTTAACGTGGAATTTACGTTGGTTAGGCGACAATGAAACTTCTCATTTGACCTTATGAGTCCCACCACCCAGAAACTTTGGCCACGTCACCATACCCCACCCCGTCAGTAATGGACAAGCAGAGTGCCACAATGGCTTTCGCTTGGAAATCTGTTCCATCCGCCCAAACCATGGCCATGGGCCCCCAAAGTTCGCGGTTATGTTCAGCGAGAAAAGCGGCCAAGTGTCAGTGCCCGCGATCAAAGTGCCATCGGCGGTATTAGGGATGTCATACCTTATCACCATGTGTGGCTGGCCCAGAAAGAAAGAATGGAGCTGCGCTTAGTTGTAGTGGCCATGGCGCTCCTCCTCGGCTTTCATGACTGGTCCGTTCTTCCCTCGTTCGTATTTGTCAACGGCCAGGTCAAGTATGTTTTGTAGCCAAATTCCGCTGCTTTTTCGTTGCTTTCATTCAAACAGTAGGCAACGATGAGGTGGGTTGGGGTGGAATTGCGTTAGAATGAAGAGGGGCGGTATCGGTAATGGTGCGTGAGGGCAGAGACGAGATGGACGGGGAGGTCGGTTAAAGAATTTGAAGGTGTGGAGTTGGATGAGGTGGTAGAGATGGGGAATCAAATGGGGTGCTTTGGCGGAGGGGAGCCGAAGAAGAAAAAGAAGGTAGTGACCGGGGGATTGCGGAAGCGAGGGGGCTGGGAGGATGGGGTGATCGAGCAGCAGGCATTAGCAAAGGCGTTGCAGCAGCAGCATAAGGCTCAGATGAGATTCGAACGGAATGCGTCAAGCCAGGAGCAGGGGGCGAAAATTGTGCCCCCTAGGAAAAGTTACGCGGGTAGAACGGCGGGAGGTGCATACAAAGATGAATTCAAGCGTAGTGCAAGTACTCGTGCTCGGCACCTCGATGACCTGCTGCTTGATCCTCGCCAGCTTGTTAATGGCTCCAAGGTCTGTTTGCCATTCATGCTTTCATTTGTTTTTGTTATGTTTCATATTATTATGTTGCGATGTAATCTCTCTCTCTCTCTCTCTCTCTCTCTCTCTCTCTTTGTATATATATATATATATAGATAGAAATGTATATGAGTGTGCATGTAAGTAATTTCCCTTTCTCCTCTGACAACCTCCATGTTTTCAAATCGACTGGTTAGATGCAGTCAACTACGAAACTATATGCATCTATTCAGCTGTAGTTAGGAGAGTGCACTGACAGTCATTCCTTTGTAGTGTCTGGATGAGTTCTGCATCTCTTTTGATTGGACCCCTGTCGCATGAAGGAGAAGATGCCTTGACGACTCTGCTTGAGTTTCCTTTTTCCAATCATATCAGCCTATAGTGAACGGTGATCAGTAATTTCGCTGTGAATTCTGTGTAATTTCATGTTGTAGGAGGAACTTCTGTTATATATAAGGTTATGTTGCAAACATTTTAGTTGGTTGGAGCATATTCCTTAGAGTGTGTTGCTTTTTACGTGTTTCTGGCTTTGCTGCGATTCTGGTTTTTTCTCATCTTGTAAGGGTCGTCGCTTAGGGTGTAATGTAGGTATTGCTTTGAAATGGAGTTAAGTATCAGTTCGGTGAGTAGTGCGGGGTAAGATGATGGAGTTGTTCTTCTCTGCGCGGGGTCTGGAGAATTCCAGTGTAGCACGGGTGAATTTTTGCGAATGTTAAATGTCATCTCTACTCCGGCTTCTGAATTAGAGCTAGAGATGCTGGTTTCAGTGTTTACGAGACTGTGCTTGGTTGTATTACATTACAATTATGTGCCCAGGTATTTATCAGTTCCAGTATCGTTGATGTTTGACCTCATGGTTGTAGTTATCTTTTGCCGCTATTTTAAGCAGATCTTATATGGCATGTTTACCAGTTATGGCATGGTTGCAGTTGTAGGTCGATAAGTGTCATCTTGACTGACCATTGGGCAGCCTCATTACTGTTGGATCGCATTTGCTTGCAGTCCTAATTTACATTGCTGTTTTACGTCTCTCTGGAGGCTTTGTCCCTTCGATTCATATTCAGCCTTAATTTATTTGGCTTGCAGGAAGGAGTTGTAAAAGCAAGTATCGAAACAAAACATTTTGTGTTGGTACACGGAGGGGGCCTTGGATCATGGTGTTGGTACAAGTCTATAGCGTTACTTGAGGAGTCGGGGTTGGTGGCCACTGCCATCGATTTGAGGGGATCGGGGATCGACTCGATGGACCCAAATGAGATCGGTAGTATGGCAGTATATGCTGAACCCCTTCTGAACTTCCTAGATAAGCTAGGGTCAGATGAAAAGGTATGCTATTTGATGCATCGCTTGTAGGGGCCCCTTGCAGTGGTATAGACCAGTTATATTCTAGGGTCCGTATCACAGTTTGACAGTGTAATAACATGCGTTTTTCTAAATTCCAACCGATATATCTTCATATTGCAAAAAGTGCTAATTAGGTCGTACCATCGTGTTTGTTCGGGATTCTGTGTATGTTATCTTGTTTCCTCATAGTGAATTTAACAATGCAGGTGATTCTTGTGGCTCACAATATTGGGGGAGCTTGTATATCATATGCGATGGAGTGCTTTCCCGGTAAAGTATCTAAAGCCGTTTTTGTCGCTGCCGCCATGATAACAGATGGTCAACGGGCATTCGATGTGTTTGTGCGGCAGGTACTACATCGTCTTTTGATCTCTTTGTCAGATTGGCGGTATCCACATGTTTACCCTAGCAGTATCAGCTTGAATTCACATGCGAATGCATGCATTAGCAACTGCTGAAGACAACAGCACATTTTTTGATTAGTTTAAGCCACTCGCATGTGGTAATCCTTCATCTGTCCAACGATTTTAATTTTTGTACGTCTTTATAATGAACTAACGAAGGCTAATTGAATCTGATACTTGGGCAGGAGAAGAATGAAGACGATTTAATGCGCAAGGCACAGAGATTTTTGTACAAGAATAGGACGTCCAGTACTCCGACAGCAGTTGAGCTCGACAGAAATTCAGTGAAGGATTTGTTCTTTAATAGGAGTCCAGCTAAGGTTGTTTTCCATTCTATTCCGTGCGGTCCCAGTGTTGAAGTATTGATTCTGTTGTGGAACAATATCATATTTCGTATTTGCCTTCTAATAACTTTTTATATGAATATCGTGCAGGACGTAGCACTAGCAATGGTGTCCATGAGACCCATCCCTTTTCCACCAGCCATGGAAAAAATTACGTTGACAAGTGAAAAGTACGGCAGTGTACGGCGTTTCTATATCGAAACAGTTGTGGACCACGCTCTGCCGTTTGAGTTGCAACAAAACATGATCAATCTGAACCCTCCAGAACAGGTGTTTACATTGAAAGGAAGTGATCACTCCCCTTTCTTTTCCAAGCCCCAGTCTCTGCACAAAACCCTAGTTGACATCGCGATGATTGGTGCAAAGTAGGTGTCTCGTTTGTTGTCGTACTCATGATTGTGACTGCACACTTCATTCCTGTTCCTGGGAGTGTGCAAGGCTCATGAAGATACAGTAACGCCTCATGTGCATGCATAAGCGACGAATACTTGTAGCAGGCATAAGAAATGATGCCGCCGACGTTGGGAGAGTAGACACTGTACACGCGGCATATGGACACGGGATTTGCACTTTGTCACAGTGCCTGTAGAGTAGTTACGAAGAGGAGAAGAGGAGAACGCATTGAATCATCGGGTGCATTTTATTAGTTTTGCAGAGTGTGTAAAAGGGGGACTAGCAACTACGGCAAACTAAGGGCAGTTCACATTGACTTGGTTCTGCCAAAACAGTTAATTGTGGATCATTAATGGTTCAATGTGACGGCTGCAATTCGCTTGTTATTGATTACTGGTCTAGATTGGCGTTTTTAGATCTACACCAGTTGAGGAAGTTGGTCATTATATTATCTTATTTGATCTAAGGTTCATATTATTCAGGTATATAGAGGAATTTAGCATTGTTGGATATGATTGGGTTTTTATCGTGTAGCCGTATTATTTGGTTTCAGGGAATGGCATTTCGTTCTTCAATGTCACCATTAGTATACACCCAAGCTCTGCTACTGATTTCTGCACTTACTACGACTATCTGCAACTTGAGTTATGAGGGTTTGGAATAAAGATGATCTGTATTATCCTTTGGCTAAGTTTGCATAATTATGGGCCAAATATTTGTATATACCTTTGATTTCATTTCAAGACTGTATGCTTGAAGGCAAATCTTTCTCTTTGAGAAGAATACAAAATCAACAAAATAATGCAATTACAAATAGCCAATGCGTACATTGTGTCTATTTATCAAAACTTAATATCATAGCCAATGAGAAAAACAAATCACTTAAGAAATTTAGTTAATCAAAGGAGATTTGAAAGCATTGACATAACAAATAAATTTGGTCTAATAGGATCTTGACAATAGAAGATACATAAGAATAAGACCAATCCATACAAAAATTGGACCAATTGTGTAGAAGAAATAATAGGCAAAGTAGAGACATCCAAACAAAGTTAGAATTAGATGTTTAGAAGTTTTGATAATAATAGATTATAATAGTTGTTAACAAAAAGATATCTACATGTACACAATTAATTGTTGCAATATAAATATCTACAAAGGCCAATGATTATGTATATATATGCATATATATATATATATATATATATATATCTAGAGAGAGAGAGAGAGAGAGATTATATAATATTAAGTATTTAATACATAGTCAAAGGAGTTACGAAGGAGTTATATGTATTTTAATGATCTATATTAATTTACAACCAAACCTATCTAGGATCACTACATATATATGATATTAGCAATGGATTTTAAGATTGCATTATTAGCAATGAATTTTAAGATTGCATTAATTGAAGAATTTTTATTGAATAACTACTCCACAAGATAACTTAAATACATCTATAATGCTATTATTAGCCTTCCACAAGACATCTTATTTGATGCCTTGTATTTTGCAAAATATGCCAAAGATAGATTATCTAGATCATGCTTAAATTTAATCAATTTTTTTGTTTTACATTCCATATGAATAATATCATAGCTATAACAAAACCATTCATACTTTGCTAATCTACTTCTAAAATCTAACTATTCAATAAAGAAGATCTAAAGACATGCTTCTCTTAAACTCAATGAATGTTGCAACTGTCTCTTTACACATCCAAACTCAATTTCATCTACAATACTATAATTACCAACAAATTTTAGGTACATTAGGTAAGTTCTTTAATTATTATATCTATTTTAATTGGATTATGAAGGAAGAACTTTCTAATGAGTTCATTGAAACAATCACAACCATGCAAGCATCTAATTTGAAGTACAAAAAAAATTCTATATCATCAAGTTCATAATCTAAACTTCAACTTCAATGGTTATTCAAATACCTCTTTAGCAACATATATAATATACTACTCATCTTTACTATGACAAAACTTATCAATCTTTTTCCTATAATAGAAGAATTCATGCAAAATCAACTTCATTTTTAACATGCATCAATTAACAATGTAATTCTAATGGTTGTTGTAGTTGTCATAGATTGCTACCTATCTATTATTACCATCTACATCAATGATAGAAATTATCAAAATCTTACTTGATGGTTGTTCTAAAGTTAATACTATTATACCTCCAACTTCTTCCTCTAATGACTACTCCATTTAATTTCAATATAATAGATGGCTTTATTATTTATTTTCTAGGCCTAATTTCCAATCTTACTATCATACCATGTTTTTAACATGCATGAATTAATAATATAATTCTAATGATTATTGCAATTGTCAAAAAATTGCCACCTATCTATTATTACCATCTATATTATTCTTATAATCATTAAAAATATGGTTATAATATCAAACTATTAAACCTTTTTTACTTGCCTTGGATTCAAATACATTTGTATTATTCATGACTGATCCAATAATTTTAATTTAAATTATTATAAATTAAATAATACACATTATTACTATCAAATATATCAAATGAAACTAAATCTTTCTATTTCTTTTTCTCATCAAATATGATACTACATGAATCCTAACTATAGAAAGCAGGCTTGTAAGAAAATCAATCAAGTATTTAATACAAGATTTATTAAACTTGTTATTTAAGCTACTCAAATATTTTTAATTATAATTTTTTTAAAACAACAATAAACTTTGCATATGCATGAACTTTTGCATCTTTAATGCCTCAATTTGCAAAGATATCATGGATATACATACGTACTCTAATAAATACCTATATGATTATGTAGAAAACTTGCCTTGCAAGTTAAGACATGTATCTTGCAAAGTCAACTTGTTTTGGAGGATCTATAGGACATCACCACATAGCTCCTAATTAAGAGTATATATGGAGATAAGAGTAAAGCCTTCTTTACTCTTGTCAATACCTTTCTAATCCTTAGTCTTGTTTCAAGACTTTTTAGTCTTCTTGTTTTTGGCAATAGCCATTCTAGTTTAATATTATATCATCTTTGAATGACTTTCTAGTTCTTTTTAGTGATATAAGAGTATATTGAGGATTTCTTTCTTTGAAATCCATATCCTTGATAGTTTGATAGGAGTGCTAACTACTTGTTTTTATCTTTTTTTAAAAGTGAGTGGATTATCTCATTTCTATTGTTGTGTTTTGAAGGTTGCAGTCTATCCATCTTTAAACAAACAATCTTGTTTTCTAACACTGATTTTTTTCTTAAAAAAATAAATTATTCTTCTTTATAGAAATTTTTATTTGATATTAGAAGTTGCGGATTACCTTCTTCTAGTTTAACTTTTTGACTTTGTTTGAGTTCTTTATAGAAAAAAAGATTATGAATGCTACTCTCAGCGGAAGTAAAAATTGATTTGTAACTATTGTAGATCTTCATGAGCTTTTCAATACTCTAAGACGAGAAATTTCACGAATTTCCAGCATGAATCATAGAGGTTCTATTCCTTCACCTATGGAAGAAGTTCAAAATCTACGACAATAAGTTGTGTAATTGAAAGAAATAAATAGATTGACTTCACACCCAAATTCAGTGAGTTTTGCTTCTATAAGTATGACAAGGAGAAGGATTAGTATGAGTGAGAAGTTTGATGGAACAAGATCAAAATTTCAAGGATTTTTGAAACAAATCAAGCTCTATTTAAGGTTGCATCCCTTCAAATATCCTAATGGATTTACTCAAGTTAGATTCATAGGCACATTTTTATCACGAAGTACTCTCTTTTAGTTTGCATCTTTAATGGAAAATGATTCATGACTCCTTTATGATTTGAATTCATTAATAGAAGTATTTATGGCCACATTCAAAGAAAGTGATCAAGAAAGAATAGCAGAGACCAAGCTCTTATCTTTACGACAAAAATCTTAGTCAACTACCATATATGCTACTGAATTTTAAAACCTTGCTTGCGACATAGATTGGAATGATAATGCCTTTATCAATCAATTTCAATATGGATTAAAAGATAATATCAAAGATTTATTATTGACAATGCTAAACGCAAAATCTTTGGAACAATTTATTGCTCAAGCTATTGCATATAAAAATTGATTATTTGAAAGAAGTTAAGAACTTGGCTAAAGAGGAACAAGTCAAATAATAATGGTAGTTTGTAAGTTTTCAAAAACTTATTCATCAAAGTCAAAACCAATATAAATTCTTATAGTATGCTTTAAATTCCTTACGGAGCAAGAAAAGACTTGACAACATCAAGAAGGCTTATACTTATATTTTGAAGAAACTAAACATATTTCTCAACATTATCCAAAGAAACAATGCAACTACAAAATGAGAAGCATGGTTGCCAAAGAAGATGATGCATCAAAAAATGAGTTTCTCCAGCTATAATAGGGACCATGTGGCTAAAATCTTGTATAATTCCTAGTAAAGGTCTTATTCTCTCTTCAAATTCATCACCTTATTTTACAATAGAAGTTTATTTAGGACCTAAAAATCACAAAGTCTTAGTTTTGTTAGATTTAAGAACCTCAGCTTGTTTTATAGATGAAGATTTTGTCAAAAAATAAGAGATATTATTAATCAAAAAAATTAAATTTGTATACGTAGAAGTCATAGATGGACATTTGGTATCTTTTAGAGATGTTATGTATAAGACTATTCTTTTAGATATAGTAATTAAAGATCATAATAGCATAATAATATTTAATATAATAAGATCTCTATCCAATTCAATTATTTTAAAATTATCTTAGCTAAAAAAAGTATAATTTCTCAAATAGATTGGATTTTTTGTAAGTTTAATTTTTTTTGATAGTTTAATCCAAAATCCCATTAGTCAAGTAGAAATATATAAATCTAGTATATCCAAGTCTTTATTAATAGGTGTAAAAGCTTTTATATATGTCATAAAAAAATTATCTTATATTATATATGCCATATCTATTTTTAATGGTAAAAAGATGTCAAATAGTATTTTTAGCCTATATTAAGTTTTTTAAGATATTTTTGAAAAGAATAATGTAGATATTCTTTTAGAGCATCATCCTTATGATTATTCTATCAATCTTTACAAAAGAGCTTAATTACTATTTGGACCAATCTATAGCCTATCACAAAATGAATTGATTGTAGTCAAGGAGTATATTGATGAGAATTTGGCTAAGAACTTCATACACCATTCTAAATCTCTAACTTGGACTTTTAACTTATTTGTGAAGAAAAAAGACAAATCTTTGTAAATGTGTACAAACTACTGAGGACTTAATAAGATGACCATTAAGAATAGGTATCTTTTATCTTTGATTTAAAACTTCTTGATAAACTCAATTAAACAAAGATCAATACTAAAATAGATCTATGAAGAATATATAATCTAGTATGCATTAAAAAAAGAGATGAATAAAAAATTACATTTTAAATTAGGTATGGATATTTCAATTATAATGTCATGCCTTTTGGACTCACAAATACACTAATTTCTTTTTAACATCTAATGAATAATGTCTTTTGTAAGTTTCTTGATGATTTTGTTGTTTATTATTTGAATAATATCTTAATCTATTCTAAGAATATAGAAGAATATAAAATTCATGTTTATCATGTGTTATAAAAACTTAGAGATGCAAAATTATATGCTAAATTAGAAAAGTACGTATTCCACACTACTCAAGTTG